CACACTTTTTGTCTGGGCAATTCCCAAATTTGTAAATCCAAGATATCAAAAAAAGAATTAAAAAAAAAAAGGATTTAAAAAATTAAACTAGTATTTCAATGGCATCTTAAGAAATATAGAACTATATAAACTTACGCAATCTGAAACCAGCGATTTGGTGTGTTGTTGAATGGGCTTGTTTGCTAGATTTGGCGCTTTTGCACATACATTTTCGCTGCAATTTTTTTACGGTCCTCAAAACAGAATAGTAGCGCTTTCTTTATATTTTGCCTGTTCTGAAAGATCAGTACATGAATATTCGGAATTTATTTTCAAGTTCAAAAGTTCCTGTACTATTGACATCTGTAACTGGCCTCTTTCTGGAGACCAAATGGTATTTATAGTTGGACAAATCCTTTTTCCTTGAGCTGATGCACATGGTAAACACATATCAAATCTTACTATCTTAAAAGTATTTTTAAAGCTGATATCAGTATGTAACAAAGTATAGCTAATGTTACATGTAAATAAGCTAAAATGTAAATATAGCTAAGATCTGTTACAAATTTACATGTAGATAATAACTTATGTAATATATTTTGATTTGGATATCATAAACTTCAAATTACTATTTTGTAAGTATTATTTTTTACAGTAACATTCACAGGAGTTTATGAATGAACAAATCCTTGACTTCCAAATACGTTTATAAATAATTTGTTAATCTTTGGATTATGGTAACTTGGCGATTTTTTGGCGACCAACCCTGCTAGTTTTTTTTTTTTTTTTTGATGCCATTTTGTTTTCATGAAGTAAAGGCAGGTTTTTTTTTTTTTTTTTTTTACTCAACATTTTTTTTTCCAACAATTGCTAGCCGAATTACGCTATGCTAGAACTTTTATGGAACAAAAGTGCTAATAATGACGAAGATTAGGTGCGAAATTGGGACAAAAGTGCAGAATCCGCCCCTGCTTGCCGCGTTTTTAAGAATTGCACCACACGGTATCATCCATGTACACGTCGACTTATTTTCACTTAAAAAAATCCCAGAATTGCACAAAAAGGGCATGCGTACCTTTGACTTTATCCATGTACACTGCTAAAGTCCTAGCTAGTAAACCTTTTATCGTCTTACCAAAATGTCGCCAAACTACCTGTTACCATATTCCAATGACTAGCCAAATAATTTTATAAATACTTCCATATTTATATAAAGGCAAATGCATGTTTTTTACAAAAATAAGCATATATAATTAATATTCACCATGTAAAAATGGTTATTTCTCATGCAGTCATTATATTTTTCAAGAAGATCATTTATAATAATTTAGCATATATCAGAATTTTTACTTAAGAAATATGTATGAATATATATTGAATGAAAGTATTATTTTTAATACACACTCAAAAAGTCAGTTTCCTTCGAAAGTCCTCCATGAAGGGATCTCTCTCCAGAGGCTTAAATAATAGGCCTATCTGCATATCTCCAAGGCAGATGGGCCTTCCATGTTTTAGCCTATTTAAAAACTTGGCCTGTCCTATGTGCCGAATTACAAATATTTTAATGCACATAATTTAATATTTACATTTAGCAATCAAGATGCAAACTTTTGACTTAAAACACACTTTAGGATACATTCATTATAATTCAAATGTTTTAGTAAATATATTTTGGCAGAGAATTCAATACTAAAAAAAAAACTGAAGGCTTTAAGATTACACCCAAAGGGAATTTTTTTTAACGTTTGTGTGTTACCTGTATTTATGAAATACCATGTTCTTTACACTTAAACCATTAAATTCAATTCAGCAGCAATATCACAAAATATTTAAAACAGCAATCTTATAATTCGATACATCTCCTCATGCCTTGATATTTTTGCGTACGTTTGCATTGCTTGCTTTGAATTGTTAAGTTTCTTATCAAACTCATAAAATGCTTTAGAGAATAACAGATATAAACAAACCTCCATATTTGGGCTTCAATGTCCACATTGAGTGGAGACTTATGTTATTTCCAATTTGATGGCTCTAGTACTGTTTTTTTATAACAATCAAAACATATATAATATAATTCCTTACTTAAGTTCTTTAAATTAATCCAGGGCTAATATGTGTTGCAACATTTTTAAAAAGTAATTGGTTTATCGTAAATCAACGCAAAATGAAATTAATAACCCTTCTGGGCAAATTGCCCATTTAGGCTAAACAAACAAAAACAAAAAAAGTATGATGATTGCTCTTATTAAATGTAAAATGTCATTATGCACTCAATTAGTTTCAAGCATATGTTCATTTAAATATACAAACAGGTTTTGTCCTTCCAGTACTTATATATGTAGTTTTAAATTGCTACATTTCTAATTAATGCAGCTTAAATATGGCTCTTTCCGAGTAGGTGTAAAATAGCTTTTGATTTCTTTTTCCATTCAAGAATTTCTCTTGTAGAAACATAAACAGCTTATTGGTACCTAAATCAAATGATATCACTGTCAAGATCTCAGAGAATGGAGAATTTCTTACTGTGCAAAAAATTAAAAGTTATTATTCTAATCTCTCATAAGAAGACATGAATCTTCTTTTCTGTTTAGATAAACATACCCTTCTCAAAATTCTTCTGCTGCCCAAATGAACTGTTAAAGATATAATTGTCTCCTCCGAGAGTCAGGACATGCTTGTTTAAGTCATGCTTTAAATCTAATGTTTCACATCTCACACATATTGGATTTCTTTTCTTGCATACATATATTAGTTTAACTCCCACTTTAATGGCTTGTTTTTCCCACACGAATTTTCCCTTCAGTGTGAATAAGTACATGTTTTCTTAAAGTACCCTTATCTCTAAATGGCTTGTTACATACATCACACACATGAGGTTTTTCTCCAGTGTGGATAAGCATATGCTTGTTTAAAACACATTTATCTCTAAATGACTTGTTACATAACTTGCAGAGATATGGTTTTTCACCAGTGTGAAACAGCATATGCTTGTTTAAATTACCCTTTTCTCTGAATGACTTTTTACATACCTCACAATTATGTGGTTTCTCTCCTCTATGAAGTAGCATATGCCTATTTAAATCAGCCTTCATTCTAAATGACTTGCTACATATGTCACACATATAAGGTTTCTCTCCTGTGTGAATAAGCATGTGATTATTTAAATTCCACTTTCTACTAAATGCTTTTTTACATATCTGACACAAAAGAGTTTTCTCTCCTGTATGAATTAGCATGTGATTATTTAAAATCCACTTTCTTCTGAATGCCTTATTACATACTTGACACAAATGAGGTCTCTCTCCTGTGTGAAGAGAAGCATGCTGAACTAACAGGTATCTTTGTATAAATGACTTGTTACATACCTGACATACATGAGGCTTCTCTCTGCTATGGATAAGCATATGTTTGTTTAAATTATCCTTTCCTCTGTATGACTTGTTACATACTTCACATATGCGAGGTTTTTCTTCTTTGTGCAAAAGCATACGCTTGTTCAATTTATTCTTTTGTATTAATGATTTATTATTTACTTCACATGCATGAGCTTTCTCATCTGTGTGAATAAACATGTTTGTGTATAATGTATATATTATTGTTTGTTATCTGTACTTTAAACAATTACAAATGTCACACATATGAGGTTTCTCCTGCCAGCATCAGTATGGATGCACTCTTTTAAGATTGTTTTTTCAAAAGGATTTGCTGTATATTTTGTAAACATTAAATTTCTTCTCTATGTAAATAATTGTTGGTTAAAGCTTTCATATCATATAGCTATAACTTGCTACATACCTTACGATATTATTCGTGTTGAACAAAAATTTTACCCAAAGTATTTCTTGGATGCTTCACGGTAGCTTTCAGTATCTTGCCTAGATGCAAATATAATTATCTTTATAAAATATTAATACATACTGTGAATTATACATTTGCCATCATTTCCAGGAACATGTCTATTATAATTAATTTTATTACATTCCGCCCAAATACGATTTGTTACTCCAACATATACACATGTTTGAGTATGAATTTATGTAATTATTTCATATATACTATATTCTGATTACATGAATCTGATATTTCTAGAATTTTTAAGCAGTAACAGTTCCAAGTAGTCAGTTATCTGAAATTGCTAAACACATTTCATCGTACACACTATGCAAAGTACTTTATTGTAGAGAAAGAACACTTCACATTCACTTGCTTCAATACACAAATAACAAAAGCTGTACAACTTACGCACTGAGGCAACTGACACATAGAGAAAAAGTACACAGTTGGCTTGTTTTGCACCCGCTAAGGCCTTTTGCTATTTCGTATTTCAGAGGGTGGTATATTTTTATGCAAATCTCTAGGGCCGGATAACAGAGACTAAACAGAATAAACAAATAATATTAAAAAAAAAAAAAAAAAAAAAAAAAAAAATAGCGAATTTTTCAGTATTCTCACACTGTATAATATTTCTGAAACGTGTGTAGTAAGTACATGTTGTATATTGTGTTGAAGAAGCTAACTATATCATGCTAACCATACTATTTCGTCAGCGATCAGCTAGACCTTAGATGGGAAGTTGAAAGGTTTTTGAAAGAACAATGTACAACTCTTGTCTCTGGAAACCATTAATGCTTTATATTTTGAAGGTGAACGGGTACATGTTTTACCGATGGCTTTATGTTGGCTGATAATATTAATCAAGGCTCAGGTGCCTTTTGCAAGTTTTTTTTTTTTTTTTTTAATTTTATAATCCTCTTGGAAGGAATAGGACTGCTTTTGATGATGAAATCACGGCCGTAGGTAGAGCTTTATCCCAACTCCAATGAAACTTAGGGGCGAATTCAAGTGCAACGCTTGTCATGGTAATCGCACTTGCATTGCAAAATCGGATTCAAGTGCAACGCTTTTCGGACACGCCTACTGAAAATACGTCACTACCATAGAGGAATTTTGCGGCTACTCCTGACCTGCCGCAAACTCTTAACAGCGACTGTAAACAAGATGGCTGAAGTGATTTTGCTCAGACGTTTAAGAAATCGGAGAAATGCTGATCGAATTCCTTGGCATTTAAGAGACAGTCGTAATGCTTTTGAAATGTCGGAGCGTGAATTCATCAGTTGATTCAGATTAAATCGGTTTGCTTCAATGAATTGAAACCTTTTCTGAAGGCAACTGCCAATGGATATTCTCTGCAAAAGCAGGTTTGTTTTTACTTTAGATTATGAAAACTGAAATACTTCTGGAAATGTTTCCGAATCAAAGACTATGCTTAAATGACCTATTTGAGAATATTATATATTTTTATACGTAAACACACAAATTTTTAATGTTATTGTATCAGGATTCTTCTTTTTCATCCCGTTTTTTTTTCGTAGTAATGATCGAAATCGTTAATTACTGCGAATTTTGGAATGCAGTAATAATATCACCATTAATTTATTCGTTTTAATTACTCTAAAACGTAATCTCGGAGAAACTGTTTCTCTAACACAAATTATGCATATGCCTGTCTTTGAGATATATATATATATGTATATATTGGGATTAGTTTTTTGGAATATTATATATTTTTTCATGGTTTTAGATACGTGCATTTAATTTACATATGCTCTCAGAATTTCAGTGATATAGTAAATTAGTTTGCAGCAATAATTAATCTTTGATATGTATGCAATTAAAATTTCATAATTTAAATTAACTTTATATGAAGAGAGAATATTTGTTAAATTCAAATTTAATTCTTTGCAGCAATGGCGCATGAGAATTATTTAAATTTAACTTTACTTTTTATTCTTATGAAACAATGTATATATATATTCTGTAACTGTAGGGGAAAAAGCATGAATTTTTCTCAGCTGTTTAAACAGTTCCCATGTGTAAAATAGTATTTCATCCCCCAAAATATTAGTTAATTTTCTCCTAATGTATAATGTCTTGCCTGTTCGTACAGTGTGATTAATGTCATGGTAATTTTGGATACTTTCTATAGATCTTGCATAATAACTACACATGTAAGTTATATACACATTCGTAAATCTCTTATGATATGAAAAGTTATTGCAGACTTTCACATAAATATTAATAACTTGATATTCTCGATAACAGGTGACTTACCTTACTTCCGTAGACCATGATCAGAATTAAATAAACTTATAAGGTTATCATACTAAATTACACGAAAAGCAGCATGACATAAATAAATACAAAGAAATTAAATGTATTTACTGTACTAATAGATTATTATATTACATGACATTGGTTTTGCCCATGTATAATGGGAATGAAAGCCAGTTTTCCATAGAAAGTCCTCTACAGAGGCATCTGTTTTCTTAAGCAGATTGCTTTTACCACATTTCAGTGACCTTGATTTAAGTATGAAACTGGATAATATTTTCTTTCTGCATGAAATGTGTTAACTGAGTTTTAGAAATATAAGCCATCTTGCAGTTACTGTGATAATACTAATTTTTGGTACCTCCATATTATACCATCAACCATGAAAGTTGTGCAATTGCTGCTGTGGAATTCTGAGCCAGACATTTGTATACAGCAGTTACAACAAACCATACATCAGTCTCTCTGCAGAATACATGAAATAACCCTGCTGTGAAAGTATTGGACCCACTTCGTGAAAAAACATTCGTTCATTACTACTGTTTTATTTGCGGTCAAATTTTACCAAAAGCTCATTTTAGAATGCTATGAATACAAGTTGTCCACAGGTAATTGTTCCAATTTCTTACTGTTTTGTTCGCTATTTCCACATACAGTAGATGTTAATTCTTCTCGACCAGCTGTAAAAGAACTGGAGTGCAATCACAAATGTGATTCTACCTAGCTTACCAAGAATTATTTTGGGTTACATTCAAATGAAACCGCAGATGTTGCGAGTGTGGTGTGATATTAATTTTTGTTTTGTCTTCATTAACCGGAAAAATAAATTTTCCATTAATGGTGAAAAGGTAAGAAATATATGATAATAAGTATAATATTATAGTCATTTCAAATTACTGCAAGAATGTTTTATTATTATTATTCAAATAATAATAACAAAAAGCTATCTATACTATAATTATAGTGAAGTATTGATATTAAATAATACAAAAGCTTTTAGAATCACCTATTTACTACAATTTAATAAAAAAAGGGTAGCTATAATTTTTTTTTTTTTTTTTTTTTTTTTGTTTTAACGTTTTATTGCATATTTTTAATAATGAAAAAACAGTGACATATTTTTGTTAAAAATGGAAAGTAAACTCCTTAAAAAGACTGATTTATTAATATATCAACTATATTCAATGTTAAAAATCTGTGTATTAAAATTTCAGATGAAACTTTCTTTTGACTTAGGATTTATGTTTTTCTAGGTATGGGAATGCTGGTCTGAGGGTTCTCTATGCTATAGGACAATGGCCAGGCAATACTCATGATGCATTTATATGGAGTTGGAGTGGACTGAAACAAAATCTAGATAGTATTTTGTCGCATCGTGCATATCTTTGGGAGATAGTGGATTATATTCCCATTTTATCACGGGAATATCTCTATAATGAGAAGCACAGAAAAGTTCGTGCAGCTATAGAGATCAAATCAAGATTTAGGGTACTGCACGATACTGGTGGAACACTATTGTATTCACAAAGCAAAATATGTAAAATGGTCATATCTGGTGGCCATTTTACATAATATATGCTTAAGGTATTGTGTTGAAAATCCTGAGATTGATGTGTTTGAAGATGATGAGTTGGTACCTTCAGAAAGTTTTCAGTCAGTGCATGTTGAAATTGCATTGCACAATGAATTATCTTTAAATTTTGAAACTCGATAATAAAAACCCAAAGTGGGCAACAATGAACCTCTGGCAAAGGTGAAACCCCCTTCATGGATAATAAAGAATATATTATGAAAAAAATTACTTTCATAATATATTCTTGGGGACCCACAAGCCATGGTTTATATTTAAACCTGTAACCCTAAATTAAATAATAATCCTAAATAATTTTATTTGTCCTGGTTTCAAATGCATACTGACAACTTTTATCATTATTGTTCTTCCCTCTGAATTTCTTGTTTCCATCATTTATGTTTTAAAAACTCTTGACTACCAGAAATAACTTAATAGGCTCGATATATATATATATTTCAGTGTTGGTATGCCAGTCATGATTTACAATAGTAAGTCACTATAAATTAGCATTGCACTTAATTTATCTTCAAACTTAGCAATAAGATTTACTGCACCGAAATTCAGTTTCTTCCAAAAAGTCAAATGTTTCCCTTCCGTGGACAAGAAGATAGAAAATTTCCATGTGACAATACACATTTAATAGCATAAGAACTTCATGCTTATTTATTATAGTACAAATTAAAACTGACATATTCTGTCAAAGATATTTAAATGTATTTCCTAAAAACAATTATTTCACTCTATACTGTTTATGTATACCCAGGCTTCTTGGGGTGGGCAAAACAAATATTGGACAGTTCAATTTTCCTCCACCATTCCTGTGAGCGTATTCTTCGATTAAGCAGGGTTTTGCTGCAATTCCTGATTAGCATAATATGTAAAGAATAAACAGCCTATGATTTATGCCTCCATATCCTCTTGTATTATTTAAAGAACATACATTTTTCTTTAATTCTAGATTTTAAAACATTAAAGTAAGGGAAAGATTGTTTGCTCAATTTAGTCATTACGCATTCACTATAATAACTTACTGCATACTTACCTCTGGGTTTGCCATTAAAAGAAATACAAATCAATAAAATCATGAGAAAAAGAGAAGGGGGAAAATAAATACAGTTTGATTCACTTAATTTTTAGTAGGCGACTCAACATTGTTATTGTAAACTAGACATTAGCCATACTTTAATAGTTGTCATCTTTAAGTTACTCTGTATTTTTAGAACTTCGAAATTAGAATGCCAATTTTATCTGCCATTGTTATGGAGCTGTAGGATATCGAATGTTATTTCTTCAATGATAAAAAGAAATGAAATTTTTAATACCACATCTCATTCATATAACTTATTAACATAATTGAAAAACAATTTAATTCATTTCATGTTATATCTGAAAATTAAAATTTGTAATACAATTCATACAGGTCTTATTCCCATTTTCCTCCAGGAAAAAGATAATTGCTGTGTAAAATGCATAAATATTTTCACGAGACTTATAATAGTGGTATTAGAATTATTATAATGTTTATGTCATATAATGGATCTGTGAATTTCTTTTAAATAATTTTTCATAATCACAAATTAAATAAAATTAAGGAAGTAGTAAATTTTACAATTAAAATATGAATCCCGCACTGCAGAAATATATACAAGAATGAAAACACTGTAATATTTGAAATGCATGATTTATTTTTTTAATAAATTAATAATTATATTTTGATTTTCTATGACAGCAGACTGATTTGCAACTGATTGCTTATACAAGTCACATATTTCACACAGTACATTAATATATTCTTCTGCGTTTTCAATTATTTCCTTTTCTGCAGCTGTAATATCATCTCTCTTCCTTTTTTCTCTTCGGTCTCCTGCTTCGAATAGTTGAGCTTCTATCTGAGGGAAAATTTTAAAATATTCATTCAAATTCAAATATTCTTAATTTTTATATTTCATAATGTAAAACACTTTTTATAATTAATTAAACAATGAAACTTCTCTAAAAAGGAACAATTCATAATATTGATTTCTTTAACTTTCAATTTTTTTCCCTTTATAATTTTTAAGACTGTTTATAGATCAAGAGGATTTAATGATTATTATTTTAAATTCTTAAAATCTTGTTCTTAATAATTAGACATACTCTGTATATAATGTTCGCAATAAAGAATTGAAATAACTCTTTTGTATGAGAAATATTAATTTACATCTGTTATAATTAATTTATACCAGCGGTTCTCAGCCGGTGGTACGCAAAGAAACAAAGTATTTTTAACTATTAAATTCAAAAATCACATAAAGAAAAGAATAGTTAATAGAAATTTCCTTTGATCGAAATTGACTCGAAGGTTTGGAAAATGACACACTTGTTAACTTTTGGCTGAACCGAAAAAAAGAATTTAAAGGCATTTCAAATAAAGCTATCAAATTTGTATTGTCTTTTCGCACAACCTGTTTGTGTGAAAAATGATTTTTTCCATGTTAAATTTGAAATATAAATACTCACCAAAATAAAAAGTGGATCCTAATTTACCATTAAATGAAATAAGAGCAGACATAAAGAAATTAAATATTAAAGTATTATAACTGAAATTTTGATAATCAAGTGAATAATTAATTTAATTTTGATAATTAAGTAATCATCAGTTTTTAATCTAATAGTTTTTTATGTGTACATATTTAATACAAAGAGTGTGCAAATGGCAATATATATATATATATGTTTTTAATATTTCTATTGAGGAATTGAAAAATAATCATTGTAAAATTAGTGGTGGTATTAATGTTTTTCAGTTTTTGCTTAGATGGTACACTATAAGTCAAAAGGTTGAAAACCGCTGATTTATACCATTAAAGTTTTTCTGTTGGGAGGAAAAAGAAAAGAAGAATCCAGAAAACATTAGATTTTATGTAATAGATACAAACTTGTCATTCCTAAATGCCATTGCAGATTTCCTCGTGATAAAGGTGTGGAATTTTCTAATGTAAAAAAGAAAAAAAGCATAAAATAAGCACAATTTACTCAACAATCTTGACTGAAATATACATGCTTTCAGAGATAGCATAAAGTAAGAAAAGTTTACTCAACAATCTTGATTGAAATATACATGCTTTCAGAGATAGCATAAAAGAAGCACAATTAACCTCAACAATCTTGATTGAAATATACATGCTTTCAGAAATAATATACAAAGCATACTGCATAATCAAAGTTATGAGTTTATATACTATGAGATACTATACATGTTTATAATATACCATGTTCCTGTACACCTAACACCTCGTCCACAATTTTCTATACAATTCATTAAAGATAGTTCCTGAAACATAACTGACTTAAGAGAAACATGCATACTTCTAATTTATGCACAATAATTTGACAAACATTGATTTCAGGTAAAGAGCTACATGTATTATATCAAAGAAAGAATGAATAAGTGTAATTTGCCTTTATCCTACAAATACTTAAAAACATTTACATTAAAAAAAATGAATTATACATAATGGTAGCAAATTTTTAATGAAAAAAAACAAAACAAGAGTTGAAAACTTAATGCAGTTTTTGTCAATATTTTACTCTCTTAAAATTTATATAAATGTATAGAAACTTGAAATGCATACCGCATTTGGCTGGAAAACTTGTGGTATTGTACTGCACTCTAGGGAAAGGGAAAAAGTATACAATGAAGCAATCATAAGAATAAAAGATATTTGCATATTATTGAAACCACCTTAATAAAAGTTACCAAATTTTCAAAAATGTGCCAAACTCTGGCAATGATTATGCATCAAAATTTTTCAGGTAACATGCTCATGACAATTTTTCATTCAAGCAATGTCACCATTTTCATATGTGTTCCTTATGTTGTATTTCAAGTTCCAATGGTTTTTAGATACGAATAGTTGTTTTAGATTAATTTCAGATTTAAAATACTGCTTGTGGAGCTTACCATCAAAAGAAGAAGCTGTGTGTTAAAAGTTCTGCAGGAATAGAATATTTTAGTACAAAAATTTCTAATGGAAACAACTATGAGATGAATTTGGTACATAGACAAGGCATGCAGTAGTATCAAGTTTATGTAATTCTCTGATTTTTTTTTTTTTTTTTTTAGTGAAAAGTGAAAACAGATCACTTGGCACAAGCAGTGAAGAACAGTGCTAAAAAATTAGACAAAAAATTTGTGGAAAATGTATTTTTTTAAACTATCATATAATTTTTATTTAATAATTCAAATTAGTATTTTAAAATTTGTTAAATGTTTTTTTTTCCTTTGATATGTTATAACGTTTTGCCAACTTAGATAAATATTGATAGTTTGGTTATGCTAAAAGCAAGCTGCAAAAACAACGTACTTCTCCTGATAAGTATTTTTCTCTTTTCATTTATAAAGACCACCAAACTGATCCAGGTATTTGTGTTAATATGTAAGTACCAAAAAATATTGAAGAATGCACAATGAAAGATGGCAACCAGTATGGTAAAAGATATAATTAATATATGAAATGAAAGAAATCTTATTAAAAGACGACTTTCATTATCAGCAGAGAAGCATGACACAGTTACAGTAAAGAAATTAAGCTTTTGTTTCTGCACTTGTAGCTTTTAATAGCAAAAAATTGTTTTTTTGAAATTTTATGAAATAAATAAATCTGAACATAACTGATATCAAACGAGAATGGGTCCAAACTTTCACTAAGAAGCAGAAGTGTGTAAATGCACAATATAATGAGCAGAACACAAAGCATAATTTATAAATTAAACCTTTACTCTGGATGTATATATTACATTAATATCACATTAGAACTAGCATCAATTCAGAGTTTCATATAATTTTTATTTATTGTATTATATTGAAATACCTTTAATTTCATTTTTATATTTTCCCAACGATGTACAATATAAATCTTAAAATTGCTCTTAACTGTTTCATCACATAATGAATGTCTAAGGGAAGGAATGCCTGCATGGAAGACTAAGGAAAACTTAGTATTCATGTTATACATTGAAAAAATGAAAACACTCATGCAGCCAGCTTTTTCACCTGGATTTAAAGAGAGACTGGGATAGCGGTGTTCAGCAGGCTTATCTGCTTGTACATAGATGGACTTATTAATTACTATATAATTCAAGAACTAGTTAAATTTTCATATGGTAAACATGCCTACTGTCACTGAAGAATCATGCATCTGCATTGAACAATAAAAATATAACACAAATTTGAATTTTAAATTAAACTTACTATTAGAAGAATTAAAACCAAATGCGGTAATTTGAAAATGGGAAAAAAATTGTGGTTTATATTTGAAAAAAGCAAGGTATTTTTGTCTGAAAAGTAAAATATATTTTACACACACCTGTTGCTCCAGATTACTTTGGAGGGAATTTTCTATAGGATAAAGTAAATAAAGTTGTACACATTACATTACATGTCTGTATATTTCCTTTCGTTTTCAGGACTGGAACACTTCGTTACACCACACTACAACGCAGTAAACACTTGACCATAAGCTCAGAGAAATCATGGGAACTGATGTTTTTTGTTTACATCGACACGCAGTCTCATTGGATATTGATGTAGTTTATCGGACAAGCTCTCCTGGCACGAGAGCAAACCAGCTCCCCATTGCAATTTTGACGTCATCAGTTACCAGAGCGGTAAAGCGTTGCACTTGAATTCGACTTTAGCAGACGATAGCAGGAACGCCTCTTGCGAGCTAACATTTGCAATTTATCAGAGCGTTGCACTTGAATTCGCCCCTTAACCGTACATTACCTTTGAGATGGCAGCACAAAAGGCACTGTCGCCAACGGGTGTCTGCGGAAACGGTAATTGGTGGTTAGGTGAAGGAAACTATAAACGATTTTGGTTGTGATATGTGATGTTATGTGTGTGAAGTTCGACGTGTAAATTACGGTTGAGACTTTACTCCTCAATTATTTCTTCTACTGGGGCAGTCGTAGTGAGAAAAGTTCTTATTTGAACCTCTGTTTTGTTCTGTGAATAATCTATGCAGTTACTGTTTTCTGTGCAAGTGACCTTTTTTTAGAAAACAATTTGAGTCCTTAACTAAGGGCTACTTCGAAGTGTGATCTGTTTCTCTTTGTGTTTATTGAAGCCTAGAAAAGACTTTGATTTTATTTCTTGAAATCTTTAAGTTAAATTTCTGTAAGTCAATACATTTTATATATCCATGTAAAACATGAATAACATTGTTAGATTTGTAACTAGTTATGTGAAATCAGCTGTTAGTTTAAACAGGATTTCAGCTATATAGCATGTTATATAACAAGAATATTTTATGAGCTCGTGTAATGAGAAACTTCGTAGGTGTGCTGTATATGTCGTTTAGATAAAAAGTTTTTAAAATGCATACGTTGGTCTACATAACAGAAAAACCTCATGTGTGTGAGGTATGTAAACAGTCATTTAGAGAAAAGAGTGGATTAAACAAGCATATGCTTGTTCACACTACAAAGAAGCTTTATGTGTGCGAGGTATGTAATAAGTCATTTAAACGAAAGAATGCTTTAAGCACGCATATGTTTATTCACACAGGAGAGAAACCTCATGTATGTGAGGTATGTAAGAAATCATTTAGAGAAAAAGGTCATTTGAACAAGCATATGTTTATTCACACTGGGGAGAAACCTCATGTGTGTGAGGTATGTAACATGCCATTTAGGTATAAGAGTGCTTTAAACAATCATATGCTTATTCACAAAGGAGAGAAACCTCATTTGTGCGAGGTATGTAGAAAGTCATTTAGAGAAAAGGATAAATTAAACAGGCATATGCTTATTCATACAGGAGAAAAACCTCATGTATGTGATGTCTGCAACAAGTCATTCAGACTAAGGGGTAATTTAACTGAACATATTCTTATTCATACAGGAGAAAGACCACATGTATGTGAGATATGTGAAAACTCATTTAGACAGAAGGATAATTTAAACAAGCATATGCTTGTTCATACGGGAGAGAAACCTCATTTGTGTGAAGTATGTAAGAAATTGTTTAGGCATAAGAGTGCTTTAAACAAGCATATGCTTATTCACATAGGAGAGAAACCTCATTTGTGCGAGGTTTGTAATAAGTCATTTAGACAGAAAGATAATTTAAATAAGCATATGCTTATTCACACAAGACAGAAACCTTATCTGTGTGAGATATGCAATAAGTCATTTAGGCAAAAGGGTGGTTTGAAAAGACATATGCTGATCCATACAGGAAAGGAGCCTCATGTTTTTTAACAAAGTTAGATTAAAATAAAATCTTATTTATTTGTGCTGTAAGAACTTGTAGATATAGCAAAGAAATCTCATTATGTTAAAATAGTGTATGCAACTTGTTAATTCATATAATTTCTTAATAAATCATTTATTGGTTTCTGTAAATAAAAGTCTTTTTATATGCAACATAAATATTACATTATTTTTAAAAAAATTGTGCCTTGAGGTAACTTTTGCTTATCCATGGAATGTAACAAGTCTTATGAAATGAAAAGTTTAAAGCAACACATATCTAGATTGATTGAAAAGTTCTAATTGTCCTATTATTTAATGACTCATGATTCCCCTTATCCCCAAATGTGAATTCTTCATACTGAATTGCACTTTTCACATCATATTGTATGAAGTATGAGTATGTGAAGTATCGATTTTATGAGTTCTTTAGCACTGCAGGCAACATTTTCCACATCATTATGAGAACTGACCACTGGTGTAACTACTTCTTTATTGTGGAAAATGGCCAGAAATCATATCACAGAGCCAGGGTTTTGTGCACAATATTCTAGGTTTCAAAGATTGATTTTGAGCTGTGTTGCATCAATAACAATATGCAGATGTCTTTAAGGAAGACCAAAGGGTCTTGATCAAATCAGCTTTTCCCTTTCCTTTTTGTAGCTCTATACAGATGTGTTAAATATTGCTTTACATCAGGGGCGTAGCTAGAGGGGGCATCTGTCCCCGGGCACAGAATCCAAGGGGCTCCAAACTGATGTTACAACAATTTAGAATTAAATGTTTTCCTATCCTTGGCAAGCAGTAGGGGGTGCAAAATTTTCAGTTGTCCCTGGGTGCTGAAAACCCTAGCTACGACTCTGCTTTACATAGTAGTAGATGTACCTTGTCTACCTGTGAATGTTTAATGTTGACATCTGCTCCTTGCCCTTGTGTGGATCACTTTCATGTTACTGTCTTGAAATACTACCCCTAAAAATTGTGAAGCATAGCTAAATATTTTATTACTGTATGCATGCTTCATCTGCGAAATGCTTGTAGTCTTCAGTAGTATACAGTAGTAAGTCCGAAATCCAGTTTCATTGGAACTTCGACGATTCTGGATTTTAGATTATTAGTTTAAATCTAGCAAGATGACGTGTAGAAATTATAAAATTGTAAATATGGAAATAGTTGTTTATGAAATATAGAAGCATTGGTTTAATCCTAGTATCTGGTGCACACAGGATTTGGCTACTTTATGATGAGCAGTAAAAACGGGACATATACGATGAGTAGTTA